AGGGCAGCATCCCTTTCACCTCAGTTGAGAGGGAGGTTTGCTAGGTAGAATTTGCTACCTAGAGACTTTGCTGCCTAGAGTCCTGTTACTTAGAATTTGCTACCTAGGGTTTTTGCTACCTAGAGTCCTGTTACTTAGAATTTGCTACCTAGGGTTTTTGCTACCTAGAGTCCTGTTACTTAGAATTTGCTACCTAGGGTTTTTGCTACCTAGAGTCCTGTGACTTAGAATGTGCTACCTAGTGGATTCCGCTACGTAGAGAAGCATGTTACCTATCCAGTCTTTTTGCTACCTATAGAGCCTTGTTACCGAGAGGCTCTCTTAGAACTATATTTCTTGCCAAGTGGCCGCCAGCGACTTGCTAGCAGCAGTGGCATTCGCCAGCTGCTGCTGCACGGAGCCTCGAGGGCGAGGTGGAGGTCGTGGGCTCCGTAGGCCAGGATCCCGGCATGGCCTCTGCTCGTAGACCTCCTGCCACGGATGCTCCCCTGCTGCTGCTGCTGCTGGTGCTGAGCTTGCTGCTGGCTCTGCTGCTGCACTGGCCGCTGGGCTTGCTGCTGGACTGGCCGCTGGGCTTGCTGCTGCCTTTGGGCTTGCTGCTGCCTTTGGGCTTGCTGCTGCCTTTGGGCTTGCTGCTGCCTTTGGGCTTGCTGCTGCCTTTGCTGCTGCCTTTGGGCTTGCTGCTGGGCTTGGGCTTGCCGCTGGGCTTGCTGCCGGGCTTGCCCTTGGCCTTGCTGCTGCTGCTGGCTCCTCAGCAGGACTTGTTGGAGTCCGAGGTGCTGCTGCTGGTGCAGCTGGAACAGCAGCCTCCTCTGCTGGTGCTGCTGGTGCTGCAGCTTTCGGAACAGCAGCCTCCTCTGCTGCTGGTGCTGCTGGTGCTGCAGCTTTCGGAGCAGCCGCCTCCTCTGCAGGTGCTGCTGCTGGTGCTGCTGCAGCTTTGGCCTCTGCAGCTGCTTTCGGAGCAGCAGCCTCCTCTGCAGCTGCTGCTGGTGCTGCTGCAGCTTTCGCCTTTGCTGCTGCTTTCGGAGCAGCAGCCTCCTCTGCAGCTGCTGCTGGTGCTGCTGCAGCTTTCGCCTTTGCTGCTGCTTTGGGAACAGCAGCAGCCTCCTCCTCTGCTGCTGCTGGTGCTGCTGCAGCTTTCGGAGCTGCAGCTTTCGGTGCTGCTGCCGCTTTGCCCTGGCCTTTGCCCTGCCAGGGTCGTTTGCTGACCCGGTAGCCAGCCACACCTGCAGGCAAAGCTGTCACGGCTTCTTCGGCTTCCTCCTGCGAGCTGTAGATGACATAGCCAAATGTCAGCGAGTGGCCACTCGGAGCCACCTCCGCATACACCGGCCACGTAGTGCTGCAGCACCAGTGGTACAGCTCCTCCGACGACAGCCAGGAGGGAAGGCCGCCGAGCCAGACCGTGCGGTCTGGCGGCAGGTTGGCCATGGCTATGGCTCTCGTGAGATGCTACCTAGAGAAGCATGCTACTTAGAACTTTGGCCTAGTTAGTTAGTGTGTGTGTGTGTGTAACTAAGCAAGTAAGTGTGTGTGTGTGTGTGTTTGTGTCTGCAGTTGTCCGTGTGTCTGTGTCTGTGTTTCTGTCGGTGTTTCCGTGTGTGTCTCAGTGTGTCTGTGTGTGTGTGCCTCTGCTTGTCCGTCTGTTGGAAAGTGGCTGCAAGTGTGCCTGTCTGCTGGTCCTACACAGCGGCCACGTGTTTGGCCTGTCGGGGGAAGGAGAACCGCTGAGTGGAGACTACTGTGTGTGTGGTGCTTCTGTGAGAAGAAACCTAGAACCTTCAACCTTAAACCCTAAATCAGGGGTCCCTGTGTGCTAGTGTCTGCAGTGTGCTCTTTCTACCGAGTGCTGTGTTTGCCCTGCTTCAGTTTTGTGAGGTCTCTGTCGTGGCTGCTGTGCCTCTCTCCTCTCTGGGTTCTCCTCCTGCGAGCCATCGGAGCGAGCGACGGCCGAAAAGTTCTTCGGGCTCTGGGCTGCAGAAGGGCTTCAGGTTAGGGGAAAACCTGGCTTGCTTCCTAGCGCCTTTGTGCTGCCTAAATGGATTGCGACCTAAAAGATGTAAGTTAAATTTCGAGATGGATTGCGACCTAGAATAAAAGCTGTTACTTAGATTTTTGCTACCTAGATGGATTGCGACCTAGCAAAAGCATTGCGACCTAGAAAAAGCTGCTACTTAGATTTATGCTACCTAGATGGATTGCGACCTAGCACAAGCATTGCGACCTAGAAAAAACTGCTACTTAGATTTTTGCTACCTAGATGGATTGCGACCTAGCAAAAGCATTGCGACCTAGAAAAAGCTGCTACTTAGAATTTTGCTACCTAAATGGATTACGACCTAGATAAAGCTGTTACTTGGATTTTGGCTTCCTAGATGGTTGGTGGGCTAGATAAAGCTGCTACTTAGATTTATATGGCTACATAAATGGATTCTGACCTAGATAGAGCTGTTACTTAAGTTTTTGCTACCGACATGGATTGGGACGTCGACAAAAAGCTGGTACTTAGATTTTGTGCTACATAGAGATCCTACATTTTGGAACCGCTGGGGCCTGCTGCATAATCGGATTCGGCGCCTTTTTTAAAGCTGCCTCCTAAATCCTAGGGACTATATGTAGCAACCGAGCCTGCCAATCAGGTGTATTATATGTGACTTATAGAGGTGCTTCTTGTGTGCCTTCGAAGTAAAAACTATCTCCATTACACGTCGCTGTGCTACTTTTTTGGTGTTTCATGCTATATCAGAACATCTATTGCCAAACCACAAGTGTGAAGAAAAACTAAGGACCCTGAGCTTTTGGGAAAACCCGAACAATTAATCCTGCCCGCCAAAAAGACTTCTATTTTTTTCCTCGCCACCCAGAGGTTTCAGTCAGTCTCGACGAGCTTGCCAGAATCGATGAGGGCGGCCACTTCCCGCATCTTCTCTCTGGCTTTCTTTTTCGCTGACTGCGGAGACAAGCCCAGTCGCTCTTGAAGGCACTTTTCCCGGTGGTAGGCCTGGCTCGTTTTTCTGTGCTTGAAGGTAGTTTTAAACTTCTTTTTCTCTCCCTCCTCGGTGGCAGCCTCCTCCGTTTTCGGCGCTTTTTTGGTCTTTTTCTTTGTAGCAGCAGCTGGTTTCTTGAAAGCAGCAGCTGGTTTCTTCAAGGCCCTCTTCTTCGTAGGCGAAGACACCAAAGCTTCATCTACGGCCTTCGCCGCCTCACTGTCCAGCACGTCGGACAAGGCCGCCTCCCGAGGCGAAGCCTGCTTCCGAGGCGAAGCCTGGTTCTTCCGAGGAGAACAAAGAGCTCGCACACGAAAAGGCTGCGAAGCTCGAAGCCTTTTGCTCGGCGAAGCTTTAGGCGGGTCTGCTCGAAACTCAGATTCCTCGCTGCCCTTTTTCGCGAGGATTCTACTGAAGACCGAGCTGCCTGCTGCCTGGTCCTTTGGCGGCTGCCACAGTACCAAAGCCGTGGAGGCAGAAGCTGAGGAAGTCGAAGGTTGGCTCGCCTCGGCTTTCTGAGTTTTTTTCGCACTTGCAGGGTCCTGCAAGAAGGTCAGCAACTTGTCCAGACCTTCCTTTTCCTCCAAGCTGGCTTTCCTCATTGCCGGGAAATACTTATCGTCCTTCTTCAAGTCCCGAAGTTGCGACATCAGGACACGGACCCTCTGGTCGATGCCATCCGTGTAAGTTTCCACGTCCATGCCGTGTTTGGACATCCTCAGCTCCGGGGTCTCGAGGCATCGGCGAACTGCAGCTCGGAGTTTGACACTCGGGAGAACGGCATTCGGAGCGACCCCAAGCAGGTCCTGTAGCAAGTAGCGGCTCTGGTAAAGCCATTCGACATTGATGGCTGTCTTCCATGACCATTGAGCCCCACGGGGACATTGCACCGTGTGCCAAAGGTCAGCCCGTCGGACTTGCTCCCTGAAGCACCTCTGCAGGTCCCCCACAGCTATCAGGGGGTCGCACTTCAGACGGGTATCCATGGCAGCCATGGCAGAGTTCAGCAGCAAAATGCTGCTTTTTTTCTTTTTCTGCTACCTAGAAACCTTTGCATGCGTTTTTCTTTCCAACATCTCGACTGTGGAAGTGCAAAGCAAAACCTCAAGCCTGCTCTATGCTACCCCTCTAAACTTAGGGTTTATAAGGTTTAGGGTTTAGGGGTTTAGGGTTTGTAGGGTTTAGGGTTGCAAAACTGGGCCGATCCGGAGTCCCTGCACCATGCCGTGGTACTATGGGTGGATCTACGAGAGCGAAGATTGTTGGGAGGATTGGAAGAGTCCAGAGCCCAAAACAACCAGTGATGCCTCTGACTATGACTCGTGCGATGATTGGTGGGATCCCGACGACTGTGTACAGCAAACCCGGTCGAAGCTGGTGAACAGTCGATGTCGCTGTGCTTTTCTGAGAAAATCACTGCGAAAGAGATGGATCCTGAAGCACCGAACCCGTACGGTCTATATAATTCGCATCGCAAACACTTCTTGCTGCCAACCATCGTTCCGGTTGCACAACACAGGACACTGGAGAAATCTTCCCAGGAAGAGCTTAAAAAGATCGATGCTGTTGTCGTTTCCTGCCTGCTGTGGGATCTTGGATTGTTCAAAGACGGCTGGAATTTGCTCCAAAGCTTCCATGTATTCTTTCGCAAACAAGCGGTCGAGGCCTCTCTTGCAGTTGTTTCTGAGTTCCCTAAAAACATTCCTTCAACCACAAGCAAAGGTCTGCCACTTAGAAAAATATGTCAATTTCAATGTTCTATGCAAAAATCTATCAAACTGGATGCTAGTTTGACAAACACAGTAAGCAATTTCTAAGCTATATTCTACAGTAGGAAATAGGCTATTTCAGATATAACCTATAAAATAACCTATAGAATAACCGGAAGAATAACCTATAGTTTATTTATATAAATAACCTATATAGGTTATTTTTGCCAAATAGGATATATGTCCCAAAATAGCCTAACCTGATCTTGGAGGTATATTACCTTGGTTTTCCCAAAAGTGCCAGGCAGGCGAGGCCCCACACCTAAGCCTCAAGAACGAACCGCAGGAGGCACCGACAGGGACCAGGGTTTATAGGGCTTAGATGTTGTTATATCGGGTGTGTATAGGGTTTTTGTAGGGCTTACATAGGGCTTATAAGGTTCATGGGGTTTCTTGCGCTAAGCGGCGTTATGGGGTTGTAGAGGGCTTATGGGGTTTAGAAACGTCATACAGGACTTCTAGGGCTGAGGATGCTGCTGGCGCCGAGACGAACCTACGTTGGTCAGCTTTCTGTGTTCGTGCTTTGTTACAGCTCATCTCTCACTCTGTGCATCTAAAGATATATTTCTACTCAGTTTTTTATGTGTGCTGTTTTCTTAGTTTGTATAGTGTCTGTGTTTGTGTTCATGTCCCGTATGTCTTATTTATGCATTTATGTTCCTGTTTGTTTCTTCATTTATTTTCGATATAGTCTCTGTCATTATTCGGTTTTTTTCGGGCTTCACCTGCTAATATAGGCCTGGAGGTGTAACAACATAATTAGTTGTGGGGTCTGAAGCGCAGTGTGGCTGAGAACTTTTCGGGTTTCCATCGGTCTGGTGCAGAGGACTTCCGTGCAGTAGGTCGTCGAGGGCGGCGGGGCTCGAAACTCTAAACCATTTTCGGGTTGTTGTTGTTGTTGTTGGTCCCCTGGGTGGAACCGTACACTGGGGCCCCATTGGCTTTTTGTTGCCCAACCCCCCCACCCTCCCACCCCACCCATCCCACCCACCCCACACCCCGTGCGCACCCCACCCATGCGTGCCCAGAGCACGCACCGATCCGCGCGTGCACGCGGGCACCTCACCGCAAGCATGTCTGCGCGCGCTGCGCTCCCAGACTCATGCGCGCACGATTCCCTTTCAAACCCCGAGCGCGCAGCGACCCCAGCTCGCCCCCACTCCGGTGCGCACCCTGCCCGTGCGCGCGGGACCGAGCGCTCACACCGACCCGTGCGCATGTGCATGCCCTCCCAATGCGCACCGACCCCGCGCGCGCACGTGGGTGCGCGCTCACAACCGAGAGAGGCGCGCACAACGGCGCCTGGCGCGCGCGCACGGGCGGTCGGTGTCGGTGTGAAGTAAGGCAGCCGAAGCAGTAAGTTGCTGCAGAATGCAGATAGGAAAATGAAGAGCTTTGGGCTCTGGGTAGGCTCAAGGGTTCAGAACCATGCGGCGCGGCAGCTAACCTTTTCGCACTCCGAAAGCAACGTGTTAAGTGATCTCTCAAAGCTGACGATCTTTACAAGTCTACTCTGAGAATCGTGATTTGACTCATGCTCAAGCCTCAAAGCTTGAGCCACAGTACATGTCACCGTCACAACGAAGTGAGAGCTCTTCCACACTCCTCCTTGCCTCTTACCTCCGGTTTCGAGGCACATATGACGGTGGCACAATGTTTGCACAAGTATACAGCCTTTTGCTAATTTGGTATTCTCACGACAACGTGGTTGCTCACGCTGTTCTCCATGTCTCAATCCACTGAGAGATCCGGGCTCTGTCGTTGATGGTGTCCCACAGGAGTCGCACCCGCCCACTGAGGTTCTTTTGTCGAAACAACCATAGGACGTACTTCATTTGCCGCATCGTAGGCAAGGAATCTTCGCGATCATCACCAGCAGGAGAAAGCATATGACTCAGTCGCGCAACCAAATCAGCTTTTATGCCTGTAACTGGAAGCCCTTCACACCTCAATCCAGTCTTCAAGTCATCAACTGACATGAGTGACAACATGTCCCTCGCAACTCGAGCCCTTTCATCCACATTCTCTGAGCGCAAATTCACACGTGATCCCCGAGAAGACGACTGTGTCCCACTTGAAATTCTCCTTGAAATAACTGGGGACGTGGACCGCTCTACCCTCGTAGCAGTAGATCTCATCGAAGTGCTCGAGGATGGTTCGGAAACACGTGCACGGGGCTCAGGGCTTCCTTGGAGAGGAGAGGGAGCAACATCACGTCGGTCTCGTTGTAGGGCCTCCTGCCGTTCTTCATGTAGTCGGATTTCGCGCTTCGCTGCCTCAGCAGCGATGGTTCCCACATCTCTAAGTCGCTTGGCTTTACGACACCCCTTCATATACCTGGCAACCCTCTTGTAGGCACACTTGGAAAGCTCCCAGATCACGACCGTCATCACGCAAACAACCACAAGCACGAACAGAATCTCATCCCATTCAATGCCCTTCAACGGCTCCTTGCTCTCGGACGGCTGAGCTCTAGAGGGGCAAATCAACGAGGAAAGCATCATCGCCAGCATTAAGGCCTTCAACTTGAAGATCTTGACAGTCTCATCCACATAGGAGCCAACAAAACCCCACAGTCGTAGTAGCTGTTGAAGTCGCAGTCGAGGTTGCAACTTGGTCGCTAAATCTGCCAGCTGCAAGTTCCCCTCAACATGGTGAATTGTCATGCGACCTTCCTGCACTGACTCTCGTACGTAGCTCGCCCTGATCTTCAGGTGCCTAGTTCGCTGTGAACCTGGGCCTCCAGCTAGCATTGCTTCCGCGCTCGTATTGTCCACTGCCAAAGCCTTCTTGTAGACACCCGGGTACACTTCGTTGACCAGTGCAGCGATCGCCTCCAACAACAAGCAACCCTGAGTAGCAGCGTATAACTCTGCTTCCATAACACTCAAGGTCACAAATGCTTGGCGACCTGCTTTCCAAGCAACTGGTGACTGGTTGATAGTCACAACAGCCGCCCCAAAGGACCTCTGCCCGAACGGTGCATAACTCGCGTCCGTAAAGCACGTGATCACCTTGTCCACCTCAGCAACTCCTCCAAGTCGAAGCTTCAGGTCCTTTGTGCCAGCTAGATACGACAATAATCGTTGTCCAACTCGATAAACATGGTGAGGTCGACGACTTACAAACGTACTCATATGGTTGACGATGAAGAGAATATCAGGTCTTGTTTTCGTGGCTAACCACAGCGCTTCTCCAACACATTTTTGTGCCCGACGTAGATCATCTTCCTGAAAATCTTCTTGTTCTTCCTGTGTTTCGGCCATCTCAATCCACTCTCGAGGGGCGGGAAGTTGAGTCGGATGGACGTCCTGCATCTCGTAGGTTCGTAGAAGTTCCTCCACATAAGCCTGCTGACTTACAAAGAAACCACCACCCTTTCTCTTCAGGATCTCTACACCCAAATATCTCACCGCCGAAGACTCATTGATCCACTCAAGATCACTCGCTGGCCACTCCTCCAAAATGAACCGATGTAAAGCTTCAATCAAGGCTCTCTCTCCAAAGTACAACAAATCGTCCACATAGGTCACCAAGAGCCCATAGAGAGTCCTTGTGTGCTCCTCCTGAACCAGCCAAAGCTCTGGGTCAGACGTAGTAGCCACAAACCTGAGGATCACGCCCTTGAACGGAATTCTCGCTTTACTCAGGCGATCAGACCGAAAGCTTCCCCATATGGCCGGTGACTCTCGAAGTCCATACAAGGCTCTGTCTATGATCCAATACTCAACCTCCGTAGCCTCACCACTGTCCCGAACCACTCGTGGAGGACGAATGGCATAGCGAGGGAGATCTGCTGGCCAGGGGGCCAGCAGGAATGCACTGGCAATGTCTGAAATTGCTCCAAGCCAATCGTTCAAGGAAGCAAGCACCAAGGCCACCCTCAATGCATCCGTAGAGGCACCGGTAGCATAAAGATTGATATCGGAGGACCCCGTCGGCACAAAGTTTCCGCAGATAACGATTCTACACTTTCTTTTTGCCCGGCAACCCGACACTGCAGGAGGCTTCAGGGTGAACACGCATTTCGCCGGAGCCATCATGACCTTGCCCTGGGCTTCCAGGTCCTTGATCTCTTGATGAGTCGCCCGTCGCAAAGTGCCGGTTTTGAACAGCATCTCAACCTCCTTTCTGATAGCCTCCACCCACCGGCTCAGTGCATTCTTGACCTGGGGCAACGGAACCGTGTGCACAATCTTCAAATCCTCCTCCAACGCATCGAGCATGGTCTCGTAGTCAATCTCCTCCGACTGCATTGTAGTAGACGACGATCCAGTTGACCTCATTGCCTTCAAGCACGTCATTGCCCGAAGCTTCTCTAACTCAACAAGACCCGTGTGCACTTCATCCAAGAACGCCGCTACTTGATCACGAGCTCCCAACAAATGCTCTCGAGACTCCTCCCTTAATCTACGGTACTCCTCAGACATGATCTCCTCGTGCTCAATGAGATCTCGAAGGCGACCTGCCCGATCTTCCATATCCTGGATTGCTAGGTCCAAGTCCTGGCTGACATGTAGAGCGTCCAACTCTCCAAGCGCAAAGGGTTCACGAGTCCGATCGCCCTTGGTTGCCGTAGAAGCTTGTGGTAGGTCACGTGTTATCCCGGGGGAAGCTTGTAGTGGATCACGTCCCGTCTCTGTGGAAGCTTGTAGTGGATCACGTCCAGTCTTTGCGGAAGCTTGTAGTGGATCACGTCCAGTCTTTGCGGAAGCTTGTAGTGGATCACGTCCAGTTCTTGCGTCCAACAGCTGTACTCTCAGAGCACTCAACGTAGAGGAAGGGGCAGAAGGATCAGCTGGTCGAACGTGAGGATCCCAGTCAAAACCATGATGTCTCAACATAGCCACATGGTCCTCGGAAAGTTTGCCACTGTCCCTCACTGAGTAGCCCACAAGGACAATGCGTTGCCCATCCTTCCATGGAGCCGTCGAATGCTTCTGGTGAGGCTCAAAATAACTCGGACCGTGGGTCACCTCAATGGTCTTGCATCCATCATCTCCTTCCACAACCAGTCCACCTTCAGAAAAAGTCGACAAAGCGGTTATCAAACTTTTCCCCACGTTGTGAACATCCTTGTGCTCCTGAGTCAACACATCCACATTGACCGCCACCGCGTTGAACTTAAAGTCTGGCGCGATCTGCTTCAAGTACTTGTTGAACACCATAGTGGACATAGGGAAAGACGTTGTTGCCCTCTTAACTCCAAGCACCCCACCATGAACGAAAGCTCCAGCGGACCAAATTTTTCCATCTCCACCTTGCTCACCAAATCTCTTGGGAACTCTT